TCTCTATGCTGCCTCATTGTTCAGCAGTTGAAAGGATTTCTTGTCTCTCTTCCTAATGGATCCTTAAAATAATCTCCCATTAACTAAAGTAATGTGACTAAATCTCTGCTCCTTTTAAATAAATTAAAAAGAGAGAGAGAGTTCTAATAAAGACAGCTTAACCAACAGGACAACAGGAGCTTGCCTCCAGTTTCAGCCCTATCTCCTACTTTAAGGCTAAGCTCAAAGTTGGACTCTTCTCTAAAAGTTTCTTTTCAAGTACATTATCAAATACAGGGCAAGGCAAGCCAGCAATCAGATGCCATATGGGCTGAACATACAAAGCCCGGGTATGTTTAAATATGATCAGGACTTGGGAATAAAATTGGATCACTAAAGAACGGAAGTGATGATATGTCAAATGGCAACATTAAAGGGTAGAGAAGGGGGGGCATGTGTTATATTCAGGATTGCAGAGGGTAGGTAGCTGAGTGAGAGAGACTGGTGTGTGATCAAGATGAAAAGAACAAGAATACTATTCATCTTCAATCTTTGCTTAGAGAATGAATATATTTGAAAGGAAAGCCCTGGTTGGGTTGTCTGTGATTATGGAAACTTTTAGTGGCTTGGTAGCAGAATAAACAATAGCAGGTGGCTGCGTTCAAAGTAAGATTTAAAGAAGAATATCAAGAAGGTTAAAAAATAATGGTCAAAAGGAGGGAAGAGACAAGACTGGAAGACAGAGGGAAAGCTTGCTCAAAGCCCCGGGGTGGAAGGAAGGGGGGGAGGGGGGCAAGGAATCAGAGTGTGAGTGGAAGAACAAAGGGCTGACTCTGCCTGGGCTGACCTAGATGGGGTCTATAGGTGAATTAATCACTTGTAAGTAGTTTGCTAAGTGGCCACCTGAGGGCACTGTATTCACTCCACCTTGAATTTTTTTTCCCCTATCAAGTAAATTATCCTCAATTTTCTCAAGAGTAAATTTAATGCCTTATAGAAGGGTACCCATGGAAGATGGGGGCCAAAGACAGTCCTTCCTCCCTATCTTTGTTCTTGAACTAGATTAATGAATGAACAAGGCTGACCTTAATTCAAATACCCGGGTTAACCATAAGGATGATATAAAATAAATCATTTAAATCTATTTAGTGTTTAGTAGAAAGTCAATAAATATCAGCTCCTTCCCATATACATACATACGCAAACATACAAGTTTGCCGAAGACAGAACATACAGAGGAATTACACAAACCGTTTATCTCTCTAAAGGGGGCAGGACTCAGAAGTCCCACAATGAACGTGCAGCTGTGCTAGGAAATCAATGCAGAGAGCAAATTTATGCTGCTCTTTTCATTGCATGTTGCAGCTTGTACATAATAGCCAGAGGGAATAGAATACAAACAGCTGGGAAATAAAGATGAAAGCAAAACTGTATCAGCAGGGAGAGACACAGAACCCCCTGAGAACTCAGCAGTGTCACGAAAGATAATTTGAACAAGGTCACCTGCACGGAATTCCTCTTCCCAGAAAAAGATCATTAGACTCCCGCCCATTGCTGACCATCTCCATCTGAGTCAAGGTGGGGAATGGGATAAAGAGTCCCTAGCTTGCAAATTTATACATTAAATTTCTGTCTATATAAATCAGAGTTGTGGATAAAAGCATCATTATTATCAGTGCCCAAAATATTATTATTAGATGGTTGAAAACAAAGAATTTGTGCTTCCTCACGCAAGAGGACTCTTGAGGTTTTCCCCCAACCTCAGTCCCATAAGGCAGGTTTTGCGGACTGATGCTGCCCTCTAGTGTCTTTTTATGGTATGGTAACGCGAGAAATAAAAACTTCCAAGAACCCTGAAGCAATCAATACCTCTTTGACCCAGGCCTGATAAAGCAAAACAAAACAAAAGTAAAAATCCTAAAGTAAAAACAAAACCAGGATCTGTACTAAACTCAAAAATGAGTTAAATTTTGCTTCAACGTAGACACTGCATTCTTTGAGGGTTCTGAAAAAATGGTATCAAGATTAGTGTGTGCTCTTCAAAAATAAAGACACTTGCCATTTCCTACACTTTACTGTCGAATGGTTACTGCTTCAGTCTGTCTGAGGCATGATCCAGAAACTTGCATTTCGTGAACCCTGTCACATGGTTCTAATGTGGAGCTGGTTGAACTCACTTTGAGAAGAACTAAAGATTATGGCAGTGACTTTAAGCGGAGTATAGAATAAATATGATAATTTTCTTACAATTCTGTAAGGGCAAAATATACATGAAATAAAAATCATCAACCAAAAATAGGTCACCCTTCATTTTTCCTGTATTTAGAATGCCTGAATTCTACATGACTAGCATGCTAAGAAAAACAATGCTGTTCAATTCAGAGTGAAGAGTTCATGTGGATGGTCTCCTAATCAATCAGCCCACCTCCAATTCCAGTGGGCATCCAGGTGGAGAAGAGAAAATGCCTAGTTGTTTTACTCATTCTTCAACAATACCTTCCTCTAACGCTCTTCCTGGTGCCACCAGATTAGTTTTAATGGCCTGATATGGCTGTAGGCATCCTGTTCTTCTCTGTCCTGTAAATGCCCCACGTCAAACTTCCCTATGGAACAGAAAGCTTTCCATTATAGGAACACTTTCTTCCTCTTCAAAACTGCCCTCTCCCTTCTTTGCACAGAGGAAATGTTCTGTCAGTATTTCTCATCTGACCAATGCCTCTCACTACGCATACCAAAAGGTGGTAATGACAGAAGCTAGGAAATGTGTCATTACATGACCAAGCTCTCTTCTTAAGCCCCTTCTAGTCAGTGGCACACATGGCAAGAGAGCTTCCTTGGGGTTATCGTTGCCATTGGATCACACATTCAATTTACAAGCCCACAGCTTTGGCCTTTAATTTTTATGCTTTAATTTCCGGGACTTGCTTTCACTTTTTGGCATAGTCTGATAAATGTGTAAACACATAGGAACTTCACAAAGTAAAGGGGTGCAGTCATTGGTATAGAATCTCTATTCACCTGGGGAATTCACTTCAAATTTAAATAATGGGGTATTTTAAAGGCAAATGCACTCAATCAGAATTCAATACTTAGTATCTTAATGTAATATAAAATGCTATTTTCAATTCATAGTTTTATTTTTTGTATTGTGGCTAAAGCCTTTCTTACATTCAGAATCATGAAACATTCAATGTTTTAATAAAAATAGGTCCTGATGGTTAGTTAGATTTGTAAAGGTCCCCTCCAACACCAGAAAGAATCCTATACCACAGCCTTCTATTACCCTCACTTCCATTTTTAATGAGCATTAAACAAATATTTACCTCAGGAAACTGTCCTAATTGTCCAATAAGATATAGCACATTGCCTTGCACTACTTCTCTATACCCCAAATGTTTATGTAGGTCTGTGCATGTCATATACTTCAATCAGCCATGAACTGCTTCTTTTCCAGCCACTTTAGCATCCCACACAGTTTCTAGCGACAGCCATTTATGCTAACTGAGGTCTCCCTCTCCACAAACAGGACGCCATTTTGGTTTAGCTTTGGTGGCTGGCATGGCCAGCACATTGAATGTCACAATGTCTTCCTTTCCCTTGACAATTACCACCTGAACCCACTGTGTAAAACAGGAGTATTCATTAAATAGGAAAATATGGAAAACTCATTCCATTCACTTTAGTCAGAGAGAAGAAAGATAAAGAGCTTTAGCCTGTTAAACAGCATTTCCTTTGAATCTCATTTTCCTTTCTGAGCTAAGCTATTAGATGTGTGGACACAAACAGGATCACTTTGAAGTTAACAAGAGGCCCACTCTGAAAGAAGGAAGACAGCCATTATCACACATTTTATGCGTTGGATAAATATATTCCTGGGACTGTAAATATATTCTGCAATTATAGGACATGAAATACTTTTCTTTCTTCTTTCTTCTTTCTACTTTCTGTCTTCTTTCGAAAGACCATTTTTTTCTAGAAAGGGTTCTGTTGGATTTTCTCTTTCCAGTTCTCTAACTTCCCCGTGTATTTATCTTATGAGTCAAAGGAAAAGAACCCATCAATATAAATGAACAGCTCTTGTCAAGCAAAAATGTGACCACAATGATCCCTCCAGGGCTTTGGGATGCATCAGGGTAGAGGGGCAATGCAGGGGGCTTGTGTCAGAAATGGGGCGGGGTGGGTATATTTACTCTACTGTGGCTGTTGTTTCATCCCTGGGCAAGCCATTCAAAGCTCAGATTTCCTACATTCATAATAAAATGCTAATAATACCTCGTCCAGTGCTTGTTGCAGTATTAACAAGATGGCATGTATGGATATATTCTTAGTGAATAACAAAGGCCCACTCAAATAGAAACTTCTGTTATTTTTTTCTGTTACTGACATGTTTTCTAAGCATTTGTCTTGCTCACTTGAGAAAGCGAGTATCGATAGGGAAGGACAAAGTCTGTTAAACTTTTTTAGCAGCTGGTGAAAGAAACATTCCTATTAGTGTGTGCCTGTGTGTGTATGTGTGTATGTTGTGTGCATACGGGTAGGGCGGGGCAAATTCACTGTTGGAGACACAAGGGTGTAAGCCAGGCTCAGACCCCTGTTGGTCAGAGGGTGTGTAAGTCTAGGAACTCTCACCAATGAAAGAAAACTAGTAAGTTCTAGAAGAAACTCCTTAGGAATCTAGTTACTTGACCCTAAATCCATTAAAAACTGTAGGGACTAAAGAAACTTGCAAACAACCTACTTGTCTTTATAATATCAAGACTAAGAACATGTTTTCTCTTTAAATTTTAATCATGCATGCATTCTTAGAGATTGCATTTTTTGAGCTATTAAATATACATATGTTTCTGCCACATTAAAGGGGAGCACAAGCTTGTATGTTGTATTATTAATTATGTGTTGGACATAAAACTCTGATCACTCTTGGCAAACAGTAGATACACACACTCCAAAACAAAGGATTCGTCCTGTGAGTGGAGACCATGTGGGTTCGTGCCTGTTACTCCGACGCAGTGTGAACTTACTTTTAAGGTCCAAGTTCCTGGCTCCCGCAGTGATTTGTGTTGTGATTTTCGTGTCAATTTTGACAGTGTGGAGATTGCTGGTGTCCCTTGATATCATCACATTGTGCCACTGATTGTCATTGAGAGGTTTATTTGAGCTCCCTTTGATAAGGTTAGCACCATTTCCCAAATCAAACACATAATGTAAGTACCTGGGAAAAAAGCGAAGGTGAGGAAATGTCATCACTTTTTGAATTTTTGATGGAGTCAAACTGGATATTACAAATGGAGATCTTTTTTTTTAATGTGGTTCCATTCTTGTTAGAAATCTGAGTGAGCTGTATATAGGCTCAGCTAACAAGAAGGTAAGAAATACTACTGTTTTAGAAGGAGGATTATTCATTGTCTGCATGAAAATAGTGAAAATTATTTTCAAAATCATGGTCTACATCTCACTTTATGACATTGGAAGGTCAATACCTTTCGCTACTCATTCTCTATTTCCACCTACACCCCATCTTTTGCCAGTTTCTTGTACCTGCTTTTCCTTCATCTTAAATGCCTGTTTTTTAGATGGGAAATGTGCACTCACCCTTCAAGACTCAGCTCCGATATCCACCCCCCCCTCATACATTTTCTTGATTTCCTAAAAGACTGTCCTGACCTTAGCACGTGATCATCTGAGGCAACTTTTCATAATGCTTCTCTGCGATGTTTATGTGTTCACCTATATTCCGTAGGGTTGCATGTTACATGTGTGGCTCCAGTTTGGTAGAATCTTAGATGTGCACAGAAGTGGTGTATATAGATAGATAGATAGATAGATAGATACACACATATGTGTGTGTGTGTGTGTGTGTGTATATATATATATATATATATATATATATATATAATTAGTGCCGGGTATACTCTCTTGCCCATTGTAGATATGCTATAATGTTCACTGACTGAATGAATGAATACTCAAATCAGTTAAAACACATCATGTTTTCCTCACCATTTCAAGGAAATTTCACAAAAATCTTTCCTTCTAAATTCTTCACGGAATTCTGATATAGAATGAAATTTGAGTTAAATGGATTTTATGAAATTGAAGTTATCTGATTACTTATTTTAGGTGTTTAATTAGCACAAATTTTTATACATTTGTAGAAATGCTTTTGTAGAATTACAGTGTGCATAGTAAGGAAACCCACATTTGAAGCATAAGATTCATGGAATGCCTATCATAATTAGAACTCAATGTTATTTGTACCTCATGTATGAAAGTGTAGGTATAGAAGACTTACTGATTTCCTATTAACTTTACAAGATATCCAAGAAGTGATTTGAACAAATATATTTAAGCCATTCTTCCACAGTCTTGCCCGCTACCTTAGAAACGAACACATCTGTTTAATGTATATTTTTGGTTATCAAGGTCAATTTTGCAAATTTTTATTTATTTGTCATTGAGCTCACATATACTCACCCTTTAACTAATTCGACCACAATAAAGTCATTTCCATCCCCACTATTATATAGTATTAGTCCATCTAGGGATGTTGTCTTGAACTGGAAAAAAAGATGCATAGAAGTGTAGGCTTGCAATGTAGCTAAGGCAACATAACTTGATTTGGTCTTGAAGGTGACAGGGTCTGCTATGATGTTCCTGAAGCCAAATCTGGCATTGAGCTCACAGTAATCTATGTCACCATTTTTACACAAGTCAATGTATGCCATTCCATTAAATGTCAGGCTTTGCAGGTGTCCAATGAAGTTGGAGGGGACAGAAGACAGATACCGACGTTCCGTGATGATGCCAGTCTCTATGTTATGAAACTCCAGCCTCGTGTGATCGCCTGCCATTTGACCTGAAAGGTCAATAATAATAATGTATTATTATTTTTCTGTATCTAAAAGAAACTCCCAACTTTAGACTTCCATGGCGATATCACATTTTAAAATACAAGGATCCAAATACCTTTTGACATTCAGTTACATATGGTAAAAACATAGCAATGATATTAAAGGGTAAGGCTGGATACTTAATAAAACTTTCTTAGGTCAGGTTTTAATCTTTGTCCAAATCGTAGCCTTAACAAAAATCACCTTCATTAGGCAAAATTACAGAATTTTTTTTAAAGTAGAGGAAAGAAATAAAGGAAGCAAGAAATAAAGAAAGAACGGGAAAGAGGGAAGGAGAGAGAAAAGAAAAGAAAAAGGAAGGAAGGACTGAAGAAAGGAAGGGAGGGAGGAAAAAGGGAAGAAAGAAAAAAGGAAGAAGGAAGGAAGGAAGGAAGGAAGGAAGGAAGGAAGGAAGGAAGGAAGAAAAGATAGATGGAAGGAAAGGAGAGGGAAGAATTAAGGGCAATGACTGTCCTAAATTGTTCCATCCAACATTGATACATCCCAGCTTCATGGTTACATGTTTTCTTAAAGAAATGCTCTTAAAGAAAAAAAAAAAATGACTCTATATTTTCCTATACCCAATAGAAAAAATGAAGGGCTGCTGACTATTCTTTCAACAATGAACCATAAAAATTAAATATGCACTTTTCACCTCCTCTTTTCTGTGCTGAACAATTCCCACAGTCTTCACTAGAGCTAGCCTCCTGGCCGCTCTAGAGTTTCTGTTGATCTCTTCTGGACCCATGCCATTTTCCTTGCACTTATGTTTTGGATACCTAAACTGGGCACACTCTACCAAATCAAGGCATGCCCAATTTTGAGACTATGAGTAGAATCAGCCCTGAAGTACAATCTTTTTTAAACACCCTAGAGTCAGATTTGGTTGCAGATTTATTTATTGATTGACTTTTCAATTCAGTCTCCATGCTTCTCCATTCCACTAAATTCTTCTATCAATCCCATGAAAACCCAACCCAATCCCGTCTTTACCTCTAGAGTGATAACTGTACCTACCTACATACCACTGAAGGGAAGATAAATAAACAAAGATGTGAACTTGTTTTCCGGTGTACAACATAAAGTACTCTTAGCATTGCTAGTAATTCTCTCCTAGCATCTTGCTCTTGTCCAATTAAATTGTCATTTGCTTTCTTCTAAAACTCGAAAAGGTCATTCAAATTGCAATCAAGTTCTTCCAGGTGCTATATTCACTACTCAATTTGGCATAATTGGAAAATTTATCGAGCTTACCATATCCTGTCATCCATGATATTAATGAAAATATTAATTAGAGCTAATCCCAGGATCAGCCCCTGAGAAAATGCACTGAACCTTCTTCCCGGGTGTAATGAAGATTGAACAATCATCTATGTGGCCCTCCTTCAACCAACTTGACAGATTTTCATGTCTTCAATCAAGACAGTAAAATATTGGCTGGCATTTTGAGGAAATGCCAGTAAGCGAAATATAAAAGGCATATTTTTTTCTTGTGCAAGAAAAACTTCTACGTACATTATTGATTTTGATGCTTATAAACTCACTGGTGTAAAAAATTCTCCCGTGAGCTGTACTTAATTCTGCTTAATTTCTACACCTCTTTACTAGTTCTTGATCCTGGTAACAGCATTCTTGCCATACCCTTGACATGCTCTCTTTTTGGACTTTTTTTTTTTTTTTCCTGATTCTATCTCTACAAACTTTTTTTTAAATATAAAATATACCACTGTAAACATCTCATTTCCTTCCTCCTCCCCACTATGCCTACTGCTCATCTTTTGGATGCAAAAATACCATTAAATCCTTAGCATTACTGGTTTCTAGTATGACATCATTTCTCTCTCCTTCTTTAGTGTTTTGTTCAATGACCTCAATGTTATTCCTTGGGGAACTACTTACTTGGTAGCAAATAAAATGAGTCTTAAATAATTTTCAAATATCACACCAGAAACATTGAATTAATAAGCTATACAAAGGAAGACTATAAAAAGCTAAAAAAAAATCACTTGGGTTTTCATACTTCCTTGTGTTGATTTTTTAATCTTTTTCATTATAGTAAAATGGGAGCCCTAGCTCAATGAACCCACCTCAACCCTGAAACTGTCATGTTTCTTCTTCAAAGTTCCATTAATGAACCAACAGGTAGTAAGGAAATAACCTGCTCCCCCCCCTAAAAAATACAAATCCTTACAACTAAATATGATCCCAAACTGTCATGTTCTTGATAGCTCTGAAATAGGGAAGCACATTTTGTTTCAAAGGACTGAGAAGTTCAGTGATAAAAATAACAAGTAATGTCTGTTTTCTTTTCTCAAAGGGTTAGAATATGTATGCAGAGCATAAATAATAAAAAGGTAGTAAAACAGTTTGGGACCAACTGTGGCCCAGTTACAAGAAAAATCATTATGGCCCACGTTCAAGAGTCTATTCTTTCTTTAATAAGCGCATATAAATCGCATTGACAGTAATGGCAGATATGCTTGCTGGCGGGGGAGAATTAGCACCTAAAAGCCATTATCCACTGCCTTAGAAGACATTAACTGCTGCCTTCTAAACACTCTTTTTTTTCCCTCAGAATTTATTCGAGTTTAATCCTCTGGCAGTAATGTAGCCATCTCTACTATTATACATATATATTGATTATGAAAAAATGAAGGACATTGAAGGAGAAAGATGTTTTTTTAAGGTTCCAAGCATTTAAAAATATAGCATCTTTTCCAGAGACTGAGTGAAAAGAAAGTCTGGAATTAGCAAAATGCCGCTGATCAAAGGATATGGATACACCGGATTGGCAATAATCTCCAACGAGAGACAACCTCCTGGATAGTGTGTTTGCACAGGTATCTTATGATGCACATCCAATCTTTATATACAAACACATAACAATATCAGCTAGTTTATGTTTAATGTTGCTCGGAGTCAAGTTAACTTTCTTGTTCAGAGTCAAGAGTTAAATTTCTGCTACAGAACAAAGTAACACCCAGCCCCATATCAGCTTGTTAGTTCACTTAAAGTTCTGGAGTGTGTGCTATATATGTCAGGTCCTGTATTAGGTAATAAAGAAGCAGTATCATTTTACAAAACTCATGGTTTATTGGGGAAAGGCAGACAAAAAGAGGTAAGGAAATAATGAAATATATGATGACAAAATAACAACAAAAAACTTCTATGAATTTCATAAACAGGATATTGAGTTGTTAAGTATGGGATGGGGGGCCTGAGCTGATATTTAAGTTAAATTTGAAAGATTAAAAGAAGGGATGCCTGGGTGGCTCAGTCAGTTAAATGTCTGACTTTGGCTCAGGTCAGGATCTCATGGTTCATGGGATGGAGCCCCTCATCAGGCTCTGTGCTGACAGCTCGGAGCCTGGAGCCTGTGTTGGATTCTGTGTCTCCCTCTCTCTCTCTCTCTCTCTCTCTGCCTTTCCCCTGCTTATGCTCTGGTTCTCTCAAAAATATATAAACATTTAAAAACATTAAGAAAAGAGAGAGAGAGAGAGAGAGAGAGAGAGAGAGAGAGAGAGAGAGCCCTGCTAAGAACTGGAGAAGCAGAATGGGGAGTTGGATTCCAGGAAGGGAAACAGGTGCCAAGGGCATTCAGGTGAAAAAGAGGAAGCCATTGTGGCTGGGGAATCAGGAGTACGTGAGATGAGGGGCTCACCTGAGACGGGAAGGAGAGTCACAGGCCAGATACAACACACAATGCCTCCTGATTATATTCTGTAGGCATTGAAGGGTTATGGGCAGGCAGATGCCGTGAGTCAGTGCCTGAACGTGTGTGTTCAATCTCTCTGATGTAGGTATAGTAAACTGGAGACCATTTGAAGTAGGGTGGTTATAGCAAAAATGGAAAAAATAAAAAAAGGTGTATGAAATGAGATAATTTTGCAGATATAATTTGCAGGACTTACCAATAATGTGTAGATGATAGAGAGGAGGGACATTGTAAGCAGAAAGAGTTAGGGGATCCCCAGAAAAAGAAAAATGAGACATAGCTTTCATGACACAAGAGAAGTCATTTTAGCAACCCCCACCCCAGCCAGCTGTTTTCCATGGCCTATGCCTTACCAATTCTACTTTCCCAAACACACTTCTGGCAGAACTTCCAGGGCGATGCCAGAATTACAAAGAAATGCAAAAACCTCAGGAGTTAAGGATTTCAAGGGAACAAATGGAATGCAAAAATTAACAGTTTCTACCAGGCCTGGAAGTGGCCTAAACATATCTGAGACAAAAAAGTCAGTGGCAAAAACTCCCAGTGCTATTTCAAAGACCCTGCATTCCTTACCAGAGACAAAAGCCCAAGACTTCAGCCAGTTTATACTGATCTTGGAACAAGCCCATATTCCGTCCCCCTTGTCTAACAGTTACCTCAGCTTCATTATAATGTTATAGTCTCCATCCAAGGGCAAGCACAAGCTTCATTACCATAACTTACGAGGCATGTATAGGCGTGCTTTCTAAGTATGCCTGAGCAAGCCTTTACCTGCCATGCCAAAGCTCTCCTTTCCAAATATTTATCCTAACCCTAAAAGGAAAGGAATACCTTTCACTCTGTTAAGGGAGTCTCAGTTTTGGAAGTTATTCCCTGTGATCTCCATGTTTGCTGCAAACAAAGTTTCTTTTGTGTGACAAACTGCACCTGGTGTAAACTCTATCTGTAAGTCACCAAGGAGCGAACTCAGGTTAGCTCCATTATAGAATGATGATGCCCAGCTAGCTGGTTTGCTTACATATGGTAAATACTGTTTAATGAAAGACACACTAACATACACACACACACACACACACACACACACACACACACAAAACACATAGTTCCAGAGTCTTGAGACTGACCAAGTGAGGAGCTGAAACCCAAGACTCCCTGCTTAGGGCTCTTATATAGCTTGTAGAATTTCACCTCCAAGTTCCTAGGGAATCTCTTCCTTTTTAAGCTTCTTTGCAGGCAACTGTTGCCCTCATC